CGCCCCCCCCCCCCCCCCCCCCCACGGACCAAGCCATCACTGCCCGGAGAAAGCACAGGAATAGCGAGCAGAAACAGCTCTCGCTGGGGCGAAAGAGCTGAGGTTGAGGAAGGCACAGGCAAGAGAAGATGGAAGCTGCTGCCTTTGAAAAGTGCCGTTTTCTGTTGCCTGTGCCTTCTGATCTCTGCTCTTTCGCTCCAGCGAGAGCTGTTTCTGCTTGCTTTTTTTTCCTTGAGGGGGGGCAGCAGAGACGTCAGGGCTGCTCTCCCCCCTCAGCAAGCCAGGCCTGGAGGAACGTGAAGAATCGTGAGCGAGCACCGGAGAAAGGCGTGTTGGAAAAGCCAACACATTTCCAGCACGCTCTCCTCTGTCCCAAAGTAAGATTGAATGGGGGGAAGGGAAAGAGGGAAGGAGAAGCCCAGCTGGCTTTCCTTTGGCATGGGGTGGGGGGGAAGAGACCAAATGCCCAGACCAAAAAAGCGCTGAGGAAGACGGGCTCCTAATAACCAGCCTGTTTGTGCAGGCGAGAGCTCCAGCTTTTCTGGACTCGACACCCCCCCCCCCCTTCAGCCTCCACACAGGGAGGGATCCTTCTCTGCTGGGAAGCAACAGAAGAAACCTGGAGAGCCTCAGGGAGTCCTCTTCTTATGTGGAGGCTGAAAGGGGGGGTGCTGCCTCGTTATTAGGAGCCCGTTGGTGATTCCAGCCCGGCCCTCCTTCCCTCCCCCAACTAACTCCAGGCAGCCACACCTGGCAAAGGAGGGAGAGGTTTCCTCTGACTTGGGGGAGATATGAGATAGCTCTCCTTTTCTTCTATTTGAGGTCCCTCCCGTCCAGATCTTCCCAGCTTCCAGGCACCATGTGGCTTCTTAAATCCTCCCTCTTCCCTTCGCTCTGCCCCACAGTTATGATTAAGCATTTACGATTTTGTTATGATTAAATAAGCATTTGTGTGTGTGTGTGTGTATAAATAATAAAAAATATTAAATTTATATTTAATATAAAAAATAAAATGTTTATATTAAATATATTATCTTTTTTAAAATTCGTATTAGTGGTCCTCAGGATTTAAAATTATGAGTTTGATGGTGCCCGAGGTCGAAAAAGTTGGCGACTCCTGCGTTAGACCAAAACAACTAAATGGACATTACCAAGCTGATCAATTCGATTATAATTTAACTAACACTGTCTAGACTCCTAATAATTTTGACTACTCTTTTGCATTTTCCCCCAAAATCTATTACAAATTTTTCCAAGAATTATTTCAGCACAGTGCGACATGAATACACAGGGTTCCAGATGAGAAGTATAACTTAAATTTATATAAGGGCACTTACAAAATTGTATTTTTATGTTCACCCTTTTCTAATGGTTATCAGCATGGAATTTGCCTCTTTTATAGCCAAAGGCCCCTTCTAATTCTTGACTCTATCCTCTGGAGTTATTTGGTCTGTAACTACAATAAATAAATTACTATGCCACACAGCAAGAAAACCCTTTTTTTGCACTCAGTCACTGCTTTTAAGTTTTTCCCATCGGGTGACCATTCCCTGACCCAGCGTATCCAGGTTGAGCATCTGGCTGAGAGAATGCCATAGTAGGCAACTGGATTAGGTTTAGACTCTTGGGAGGCGAAATGCCACTGTCATCAATGGCCATTCAAGCTCAGCTTTTCTAACGAAGAGACTGATTTGGTACACCACCATATCAAGCGGGGGAAGGGCAACCTTCAACCCCTAAAGCCGTCTGTAAAAAGAGTGAGGTGCAAAAGTCCCACCTGCCCGACAAAACAGCACCCGAGCAAGGCTTAGTCGGAAATCTGTCCCCGCCCAGTTTAAGGAGGCTGTCAGTTTTCGTGGAGGGATGAAATATGCGGGGATTTATCCCCCCAAAACCAGCCATAGCAAAGTGCAAGCTCTGCTGACGCCCTGTGAACTCCGAGGCGAATGGCACTTCTCACTCACCAGTTTCCCGACCCCACGATGCACACTTTCAAGGGTGCCGAAGCTCCAGCCATTGGAAGTAGCTGAGGGCAAACTCCTGCCGAAAAAGGGGTCCAGGGCAAAGGAGCTCAGGAATACCCCCAATTGGCGGCGGCAAAGAAACTTCCGGCGGCCATGAAGCACCAACATAGGAGAAGCAATCAAGCCCGCCTCTACAAACAGTTGAAAAACTCCATCCTCCGGGGCTTGCTGGGAATTGTAGTCACGTCAATAGGTAACCGACGCTTGTTTCTTTTCCGTCTGCAATTTTTGGAATTTGGACTTGTTTTGGTCTTGTAACCTGTGTGCATTGCTGGTCTTGAGTATGGACTAGACGTACAATTTGATTCATGACGAATCCAGAAATCCAGGGGATTTAACCTCCTGTAATTATTTCAATTTATCTGACTACAAGCCGCACTGTATAAGCGTGGATGCAATTCTCTTCGTATCCTCTTTGATTCCACCAGAAACCCTCTTCACTGTTTATACAATTTTGTTTAAGTACAGTTAAACTAAGTTTTACAGCAACAATTGAAGGCGCCAGAATACCTCTGCACTGATCTATATAGTATTTCTGTAAGTCACAAGACAATGGGTCTTCTAAATACAGAAGCGGGGTAGGGTGGTCAGCAACAGAAAGCAGCAGACTAATGATAGTACATTTATACGAAGTTAGAACTTTGATGTATTTGACTTAATTGAGTCCTATTGATCTACTTCGGTTAAAACTCTGGTAAGTATGATTTATCCTAATCATGGTCTGTTGAAAAATACATGGACATCTGGTCACTGATAAAACTTAGCTTCTAATTTATAAACTCACAGAGGTTGGATTCACATACCAACTCTGCCAAATCCAATAAAACACAGTAAGTGTTAGTGCAACACCTCAATTTAGCAAATTCAATGACACATCCAAGTAAATGGAGAGGAGAGTCAGCAAAGAGCTAGTGTTCAGACTTTGTACTTTCTAATGGTGAGATATGTATTTGATATGTAAGTTCAGTAAGCAGAAATAGGAAGGAAAGTTCAAAAGGTATACTACTATAAAGAGAACAAGGTTCAGGAACTATGAAGAAGTTTAAATAGATGTATTTCCTGCTAAAGAGCAAAATAAAAAGGAAATAAAAAGATTCTAACAACTATTTTTAGGAATGGTGTTGTGTCTACATAGAATAATTTGAGTTGTTTTATATAGTTTAGGATTTGGAGAGGGATGTGTGTGGAAAAAAGTGTCTGGCTCAGTTCATAGATTCTGACTAAAAAATGTGGCAGTTAAATTTAGTTTACTGGCATCCAGCCATTGTGATTAATTAACCAAAATTTGATATTTTGTGCAGACATAGTTGCAGTTGTAATAATTTTATCTAGCACATTGAATGACCCCAGACATTATAGAATATAACCATAGTTTATGGTTCAGCAGTGTGAACACAGTTGATTTTTTTTTCATTCAGTAACCATGATTAAGTGGGAAAAAGCTTGTCATACACATGGAGGTTTTGTAATTTTAAAAAAAAGCAACAGGATTGTTAGAAATAAGAAAATTCAAAAATAAAATGTAGATGAAGAGAATAGTATATTATAGCATTAAGAAGACAGTTCTCTATAGACATTTAAATATATTTTCTAATACATTAACTTATTGTTAAACATGTACCTGCAATCTATTACATCCTCCTGTAACAAGTAATGCCACCCCTATTTCCTCCAGGATTAGGAGGACAATAGGATAAGAGATAAACTATTGCCCTAACTTTCTTTAAAGTTAGATTTTGTTTTTCAAAACATCGGCTTACTTTTACTTTGCATAGATGTTAGAAATGCATATAAGAAGATGTGCTGAATGTAACATTAATATGTAACAAGTGTGGTGTTAGGAATAGATATTTCTTTATTCTCAGACCGTTAGAACAGGGGCCCTGCTGAAGGGACATTCTTTAATGCCAAGAAAAATAAGATGTGATGGGAGGTCATTGGGAGGTATCAAAGGAGATGATGTGGTCTCCATAAGGTGCCTCGGATTAGCTGTACTCAGTCACTGGGTGGATGTAGGAGGGGCGTCGGGATAGAAGAACTATAAAATGTATTGAAATCTTAAGGTGTGGTTCTTGGCTTAAACTTCATGTTGAGGTCAGCTGAGATTCTACCGCTCTTTGCAAACAGCTTAACAATAAATTCTCTGTGTTTTCACCTATCCAAGTTTTTGTCATTTGGATTCATTTCCAACAGGATGAAGCTATGACAGAAAAATATTCTTGAAGATCAAGCAATAATGGATTAGGTTCAAGGATATTTGAAATGACAGCTTTATTTTCTATGTTTGAGAATGATTGCTAATTGTATAGTATAAGAAAAAGAATTCTGGGTCTATTGATTCCTCCATCCTTCTGCATAGTGACATTAAAAAAAACAGATCCATAATTCCATTGAAAACACAGTGTAAGGCTGGTTCACTTCTTCAAAAACACAAATGACCCTGAATTATGTGATACATGGATCATTGAAGACTTAATGGAGCATTTTCTGAGAAGAGCAAGAAATATTATTTGGAATTATTTCTCTTCAAAGAATAGGAAAGTACAGGTTAGAAATACCTCCTTTTATTTTGATCACCTGTAACTAAGACAGTTCTTTTAAAAATGGCCATTTAAAATTTATTTTAAACTTTATATGAAGTATTTTTCCCCCTTTGGTACAACACATTCCACAGCCTATGTGTTTATCAATTAGTAAAGTGGTATGCCATATGCTAAGGAACAAAAGTTATTATTGTGAATTATACTCCACTCCTAATGATTACAGATGTTTCCATATGGAATTTCGTGGCAGAAATGCACAAATTACTACAAGTTGTTCTAAGTAAAGCTGCCTTTTGCAATTGTCCAATGGTCATTTTGTCAATATCAATAGTATTCAAGTAGTACTCCGGTTGTTTTGGGATGCACCCAAGGTGCCTATTTGCTTTTTTTTTTTGCCACAGCCATTCTGTTTCTATTTGCAGGCCTCTGTATTATGTTATCTTCTCTAGTTCTTTCTCTTCTCTTTTGTTGTCTCCAGGTACTGCCATATTCACTATTCAGACTTTTTGTCTTACTTATTGACATTTGTTAAGGTCCATTTGACAACACTTCAGGTGCAATAAGTGTGGAGAAAAACTATATTTTGCCACTCTTACTTCCACAAGGTAGGCCTTAATTGCAGCTTTTGTGTTTGGTCAGATTGTTTTTCTTCAGTGGTGCTCTAGCTATCTCTTGGCCTTTTTCAAGACTGCTCATAGCCACTCCCTTAGACCTCACTCTTAGCTCACTTTCAGCGCTAGCAGGACTTCCCCATCCACTCCCCCTCACACAAAACAACAACCCCTCTCTTAAGCTAAACTTACTGGTCAGCCAGTGGGAGGGTAAGCTCACACAGCCTTCTACCCAACTCTTACTCTGAGTGGAATGTCACAGCAGGCAACTCTGGTAGCCATTGGCCTTGTGCTCAACCATGGGGCTTCACTCCATGTGTTTTGCCACTCTAGCCATGGTTTCAAACTCAGTTGCCTTAGGTCTGGCCTCAATACTAGCTTCCCCTTGGATTTGCAGCCCAACTCTCACCACTGCTATTGTTTATTTTATTTTATTTTTTATTTTATTTGTTTGTCAAGATAACAAATATACGTATGAACATAAACATGAACAAAGGAAGTAAATATAGATAAATGGGGACAGTAAGACAGGGACAGTAAGCACACTGGTGCACTTAAGCATGCCCCTTTAAGGACCTCTTAAGAATGGGGTGAGGTGGGCGGAGCTGGCGTTGCGACGATACGGCATGCGATCTTGGAGGTCTGAGATCGCTGCTGATATCTTTGCTCCTGGACGGTCCAATCAGATCTAAACCGTCCCGAAGAGACCGTGAAAGTAAAGAGCGCATCCTGTCGATCCCAGGGATATCGCAAAGTCCCTGGTAGATCCAGGAGCAGCTCTTTTTGCCAGCGGCAAAGAGGCAGCCATTAAAGCTGCTGAAGTTGGGACAGCTCTGAAACGAAAGAGAACGGAAAGAGAGAGAGTGCCGGTTTGGTGAGAACTTTTTCTTTATTTTAAGATTTGAAAGGACACCCTAAGGAAAATAAAGAATCTGTAAAAGTTTTGACAGAAGTGATTAAGTGGTGATTTTAAACAGGAATGTCAAAGTAATTTTTTTTTCTCATTGCTGGATTTTTTACACACGATCTTATACTTTGAAACTGGACTGGTTTTTTCTCTTCTTTTATCTATTCTTTTTCTCCTTTTTGATTTTATAATATTTTAGGCTAGAGACTCCCTTTTAGTTATTTTTTTAAAAATATCTTTTTCTTTTTTTAATTAATTCTTATTATATTTTGCTTGGATAAGGAGGGGGAAAGTGAAAGCCAAAGAAACTTTGTAACACTGCCAACTAGAGGCTTGGAAATATTCTATTTCTCTTTTGACTAGACAAAGCTGAGAAAGAACTGAGACTTCTTTTCAAGGACATTGCTATTTGATAAGATAGAGGGAAGAGCATGGGAGAGTATTATTGCAGGTGCTCTTCTGGGTTTCTATCAACAGCTGGAGTCTGGTGCTGAAGGTTATAGAAAAAGAAAAGGTGATAAGTTTCTGGAGAAGAGTGTTATAACAGGAACCTTGGATAACTAAACAAAGTGCAGTGTGCTCTTTTTATTTTTTCTAAGCTGCGCTACCCCTCCTCATCAGTTTATTTTTTGTAATAGCTATTTGGATTTCTGGCCCTTTGGAACTTGTCTTTGTTTTTGTTTTTCTTGTCTTTGGAACTTAAATTTCTATGCTTGCTCTTTATTTTAAAGGAAAACTTTAGTATTAATGATTTTCTTCCTTTTCTTTTTAAGGGAGTAGTCTTTTTTTTTCTTTTTTTCCCTCCCCCTCCCTGGTATTTTTGTTTTTCCATCTACCTTCCATATTGGCTTTTTTTCTTTTTTTTGTTTATTTTTCTGGCCTTTTTTTCTCTTATGCATCCTTTTATATTTGAGACCTGTTAATTGGATTAAGGTGTTGAAGAACCTGAAGAATTTTCCCCTTCTCTTTTTTAGCTTTTTATTTTTCACTTTTCTGCTTTTCTTTTTTGTGTGTGTTTATGGTCTTTTCCTTCAGTTTTGAATTTTTACT